CTACGCCTTCTAACCAGGCTGTACTACAACAACTGAGAGCGAATTCCCCAGACCTTATAGCTGCACCAGTGGGATTCCCGGGAACTTTGCGGTTCTTTAACCTTTCCGATTTTTATTTATTCATTCTTTTCTTTTTTCTTCCTCTTCCCCTCTCTGTTTTTCTCCATTTCATAGTCTCTCATCTCCCCACTCCAAAGGAAAGCTCCCCTAGCATTCTATTTTGTTTCTTTGTATGTTTTTGGCTCCTGTTCCTCTCTCCTCTCTCCCATATCCATCTTACCTCCACACATAACAATTTCCCTGCTGTATCCCGCCTACCTGCACTGTGCTCTTGACATCACACCACCAAGCAGCACGGGCACGGCCTTCTGGAACCTGCCCTGCACTGATTACCGACCCCCTCTGGTGCCTGCAGTAAGTGCCACAAACAACCTATCCCAGTAACTCCTCTTCAGCTAGACCTGCCCTGCCGTACTATATCTAAGGGACTGACCCCGCCAATTGGAGGAGGAGGTGAAAAGTATTGTGCCCACAGATGAGCAAATAACAAAGAACACGTAGTCTGCCTGCTCAGACATACTCAACTTTTTTTTTAAAAATAGGGACGAAACAAATAAATCTACAATTAATAAACGATAAAAATAACTACTGAATGCCCCGAAGACAGCAGACAATATCAAAACTTTTACAAAAACAGGACAGGATGGTTCCAGTAGGCGTCCAAAATAAAACACCAGATGACCCTCCGGTGGAAGAAAATGCAATAGAACTACCTCATAGGGAATTCAAATCTCTAATACTTAGAATTCTCCAAGAGCTGAGGCAAAAAGCTGACAAACATGAGGAAAAAAATAGAAAAATTCATGGAAAATACACACAAAAAATTGGAAGAATGCAGGAAAATAATGCAGGAACAAAATGCCAAAATAAATTCACAACTAGAAATTATACAACGACAACAATTAGAAATCCAAAAGACAAACAACAAGATTTCAGAAATTGACGATGCCATAGAAGGGCTGAGAAGCAGATTTGAAATGGTGCAAGACAGGATCAGTGGAACTGAAGACAAACACTTGGATACAACTCTGTTTGAGGAAAACACAGAAAAAAGAACAAATAAAAATGAAGAGACCCTGAGAGTTACGTGGGATACAATCAAAAGCAAAAATTTTCGAGTGATTGGAATTCCAGAACAGGG